GTGGTTCTTTTGTTTTACTCCAGAGCACGAAGAGATGTGCAATTTGAGGGTCGTTTTCTGCCGTTATACTTTCAAAGATTTTTAATTTAGACCCATCAACAACCAAACGGGAAAAAATAGCATTCTTGATTTAGTGTGTATAACGTGCATACTTGTACATACATGTACATGTACACTTGACCATTTAAACATATGCACAATTGTACCATACATGTACATATACATGTACATGTAGTCAAACCGCTGGATAAGTTGGAAGACATTTAAAACATTTTAATCAGGCAAACATACTGTCATAAGATGTAACATACCGGTATTGCATTTATAATTCATTGCTGCTTCAAGCTAGTCCACTCTCAAAATCAGCCTTGAGGTCTGCCCATCCAGGATTTGTTAAAGTGTTGGCTCATGCATAATTCATTTATCCCCTTGCATGCAGGTTTGTAGATAAATGTACAATGATGCATTAGTATGCGGACTACTCCATTTGCCTATAGGCAAGGCAGTACGCTTGGCCAATGAACACCTCTTGTGTGATGCATACATGTATTCATAAAGTTAGAGTGCTGTAGTCCTTGGAACTCTCTCAGCACTGCCAGAGCATACCTGCAGGATAAGAGGCACTGGTACATTGTACATGTACATGTATGTGAAGCCGGAGTGGTTCTGTAAAGCAACTCTTCGAGACAATTTGTGCTCTTGTGCAGTGTGGACAATCTACTTCTTCAATAGGACCATAGTGGCAGGCACAGGTATGTGTGGAATGGTCTTTCAAGTTTCAGTTCCCCATGTTTGACTTTTGTAATTAGTCACTGATGTAAATGATACAGTTTGTGTGAGCATGGATGGAGCCATTATAAAAATTTTATGATGTGAGCGCAGATTCTATGTTTTCCCGGTCGTTGCCGTACTGTAAATTGAGATTGATTGCCAAGTGGATAAGTTTTTCTGCGTTTGCTTTGTCACTGAGTGTTCTGGTTGAGGAGAATTGAAAACATTTTCCTATACACGTGAAATAATCTAATTTAAGGGCATGCATTACAAGTGAACAATGTAAATACTGACTTACATAGTAATTTCTGTCTGGCTTCAGGCAAGTGTGTATTGCCGACCAATTTTTTTTTCACCCAACATTATGTATGCACCGATACGGGTGCTTATAACCACGTGAGAGATTGCACATTATTTTTTGCACCGTACAAATGTGGTCTCCATTCGTGGCACGGTTTTAGAAGTATGCGTGGCAGTAAATGTGAGTTGCCTGTAAAAAAAATAAAAATGACAAACAGCAAATGCCAGTTTTTCATTCCAAATTTTAAAATGTGAAATGCTAACCCCCCAAAAAGTGGGGAAACCCGGAAAATTTGCAATTGTAGAACTCACAATCTCAGCACATTAGATCTGGAAAAAAATAATAAATTGACAAGATTGTTCATGCACACATATGTGCAAAAGTACTGTCAGTACATGGACCTGAAGCTAGCAAAAATGTGCCACAAAAAAAAAATAAACATTTGATTGCCACGTTCAAAACTTAGCCCTATTTTGTATGGTACAGGTGTACATCTGAAAGAAAACGGCATTTTAACAATTAAATTTGTCTGTGCAGACTTATACGTGTAAACATGCTCATAAAGTATACATGTACATGTAGACATCTTCAGTGTATTTTTAAGTGCTTTTGCTACTGTAATGTAAGTAATATTCCTGTGCGGTGTACACACACATTGTACATGTACGTACATGTACATCTATCGTACATTATGCACCTGTACAGTGTACACATGAAATGGTAAGAGTTCACACTTGCAGCCCATCCGCTGAATATTAATTCCATCAACTCCAGCGGTTTGATTACTGTACGTACAATACAGGAATCCCCCCCCCACTATATCAGTCCATTCCTTATTATTACAGCCTGATCCTGACGAAGGCGTTCAGCAAAGACAGATACCGGTATGGCTGTATCCTGGTTCCTGACTCTCCAGGATACAGAGTGGTTTAATGGCGCAGGCGTCGTGCTAAGACATTCTAAACATTCCTCATCAAAGCCACCCTGGGAGGGTGGAATTAGCCAGGGCATCACCAGACCACAGCCCTGCAACTTGTGTGTGGCTTTAGTGACTCCAACTTGAAATGATGAACTCTATGATGTACAATGTACATGTACACTACATGTCAGTTAAACTAATTTTTTCCAGAGGTGATGTTTTTTCACCCATTTTTAGTAAAAATGTATCAAATGCTACGTGCATGGGTACCGATACATGTTCATGTATACATGTATGTACATGTCCTTTACAACAACTAAAATGTATGTAAGCTTAACAGCCGTACTACCGGTAAATATAAGAGAATGACATTTCCGTGGAATTGCCCAGGTACCGGTATAATTGAATGTTATTTCTCCTGTCAAAGTGGTGACAACTGCAGTTACATCAGAACAAAAATAAGGTTAGAAAAATGTCTCTTTTACAGAATTTGAACAAGGAGTTTCTGTCCAGTTCCCTCAATCGTTGTTTTGGCCAGCCACCTTTTAGTCCCCCTTTCTCCCAGATTTTCCTTTAAATTCCTTCTTAAATTTTGCTTGTTACTCCATGGTGTGTGATTAACGACATCGGAGGTACAGTAAACACTTTCATTGCCTGAGTTGTATGGTGTGTGACATTGCCTAAATACTGGTACCGTGATGTACATTGTAAATTTGTTTATCCCTGTAAATAAGCAATGTATTTTCACCAATTCATGTTACCTTCGAAACACCAGAAGTGGATTGAAGTTGGCACAGTGTTGTGTGTTTTCTTCTTGTTGAAATATTAATGTCATAATCTGTTTTGCGATATTGGTTGGTAGTGAAGACAATTTTTTTTCTAAGCCTTTGATTGTCCTTTTAGATCTCCTACTGATTTGAAAGAGCTTAAAGAATCTATTTTAATAATAATTACCTGTATGTACCGGTAGTGCATGCTTGGAAAACCTGGGACAGATTGGGAAGGCCAAACACCCTTGTCAGGTCAATGTGAAGGGACTTGGGATGAGGATGTAGGGATACACTGGGAGATATTGACTTTATCATTATGCTTGTGATACCAGTCTGGTATGTACATGTATGCGCCAGTACCACTGCAGCGAAGGAGTCGTAGGGGCTGGTATTAACATGCGTGCCCTATGAAATCCATTGGCCAATGTCTTCAGCCATAATCTGGATGCTGCGTAACTTGGGTCTGGGGATTGGAGTACATGCTCCCTGCTGCTTTGATGGGAACTCACTGCGTGTTTTGACAAGGAGCGTGCTGAGCACACGCAAGCCATTCCTAGTTGAATCGTCAAGGTCATAAAATTTGGCTACTACCGATACCTGTGGTTGGAATTTGCAGTCTCCCCGTGCAGGCCGGATGCCCAGATGAAAACATTCCTACCAACCTGTCTATTCCTTGCTGATGAAGGGGTTTATTCAAGTAGGGACAAATAGACAACCATCAAATTATTTGGGGGGGGGGAATTTAGAAATTTCTTTGTGGCTTTGCAGAAATGTGAGGATACATGTACAATACATGTTCAATAATCTCCTTTTTATAAAGTATGTGTTGGACCATGGTTGGACTTACAACTCTACTGTACATGCACTCGAAATGAGTCCCTAAGCCGCATCTAAGTCTGTTGACAAAATAAGGTTCAGGTAGCAATTTCTTCCAACCTGATGATTACATGGCCATGACATTATTTTAATGATTTAAGAAGATTAGCATCCAATTTGACTTTTGGAAGGAACAGAAATGAAACTGTCCTCTAAAACCACATTTTTCTCATCTTTTCCTTAAACTTTGTGCCACTTTTTTTATGGATGGGGGGCCGTAATGCCCTCTGGTTCTGCCACTGTTTGTATACACTTTGAGAAAGTATGTACACGTGAATTA